CAACTTGGAGACTAAGTCCATGTTCGAAGGTAGTACACTGACCCCCTGCATGCCAACTGGAAAAAGATTATCTCAAGCACTGTTGACTACCCACAATCTCAGCAGAGCGTGTGGGTGACCCTGGCTGACCCAACGAGGCAGGACATACTTTGTCTAAACATCCTTGTTATTTTAGTTGTATCACAGATCAAAATGTACCTACCCTCCATTTATCAATAATTCCCATGGGCAGAAGAGACAAACTGTGGCTCCCAGTGAACCTAAGCAGAAGCTGGGAGGATGATGCAAGATAAAGTGAATTAAGGAAACTGTTAAATCAAGAAATCCTCAGTGGATGGCTGATTGCTTGGATCACCTCTGCAGCAATCCCGGCAGCTACTGCAGCCACAGCTCCTGCTGCACTGGCCATTCAGTGCCTGCAGTGCCAGTGTATGGGCACTGTGGCAGCATCAGGAGCAGGTGTTTCAGAATCTGTCTGGTTTCAATATTCCAAGTCCTCTGGAAGTGCATGGGACAAGCCCAAAGACAAGAAGCCCGGGTCCTGGCCCTCTTGGCCGTGAACTCTGTGTGTCCAAACAAAACAGGGGCAGAGGTGGGACCAAGGGGAGTCACTCTGCACCTGCACTGAGTTCATGGGAATCCAAAGGGAGGATTGACCTTGGCTGAGAGCTTGGAGAGAGAGAAGGTTGTTTCTCCAAGTGGAAATGCACTTGAACCAGCCTGCATGACCAGCATGTGTTTTTCTCTCGTGGCTGAACACAGCCAGCACAGGAGGAGAGGGGAATTTGTGGGATCGGGGCACTGCTTTGGGACAATGCTGGGAATCCTGGTGGACTAAATGACAAACACTGGGTGCTACTCACGAGAGAAGAGGAATAAAAGGGGACACTGAGAAGTGTCAGTGGACAAGTCCCACAATGGAACTCTGTGTGTGCAGCCTCATTTTCTCCTTCAGCACCCACAGAAGAGGGGGCAAAAAGTGGGGGTTGGGACCCCAGAACTGCTTGGGGGGGAAGCTGGAGATTGAGGAGACAATGGGAAAGTGGAAGGGACAGGGAGAAGGGTGGAAAAGGAGAGCAGTCTGCCAGGTCCGATGGTCCCATGGGGGTCTTTGGGCACAGGGGGTTGGCAAAGGAGGGTGACCCACTGAGCTCCCAACTTACTGTGGGGTGCTGGGGGCTGCTGGATCCAATCTCAGCCTTGGCTTATGCCAAGAGCTAAAATTTAGAGGAATTACAGAGATGTGACTGAAGCACTTTTGTCCCCCAGGTTTTAATGATGGCAAAACAGATCTATTGATAGAAATGAATTATTTAGGGTTACAAATGATCAGACAAAAGATCTTCATCAGAATTATTTACTGCACAATAGAAACACTAAAACTACCAGGAGTACAGGATAAGATAGGTCAGTGCTCTACCCTACAGCAATTGTTGAAGCAATTCTACTCAAGCTGGCACAAAAGCAATAATTCTTAATTAGAGATGGATGGAACTCCCCCAGACCAACGCTGGTGGGGAGATCTCTGCTCTCAGCCTCCAGGAGTGATCTTGGGGGGTCCCCAGCCAAGGCAGGAATTTCCACACACCCCAGGAAGGATTCTGATGGCAGAACCTGCCCCTGTGAAAAAGGACTGGCCCTTTCTGGTAGAAACCTCAGTCCGCTCAGAAGCAAAGGGCCGCTATGACCCCCC